GAGCAAAAGTGACTTGGGGTTCAAGCAGTGGCACCAACTTGGGCCCTATACTGTGGGTGTCCAGCACGTGTATAATGCCACAACATCATTGTCCTGGGAGGGCGGGGTATAAATAAAATTGATTATGATTATGATGACATCATACAGGCTTTAACACAGACACAGGTCCTAGCCCAGTTGTTACGGGGGCATCAGAGTGCCAGAAGTTGAGTGGCGGTGGACAGCAGTGGACGGCCGTGGATGGTGCGTGGCGACAGCTGTGGGTGATGAAGGTTGAGCATCCACGGGGGGGGGGGGAATGTGGTTGTCTGGGCTCCCAGGGTCTCCTAAAGCTGGTGCCCCTTAGTTCAAGTGAGGAGGGTTTGGCGTCACAGAAGTGGGAGCTAGAACTGGGAGTTTTCACAAACATGTTTTTCTCCCAACTACTACCCCTGCACATGAATATTATTTAACTGTTTAGGATGTTGTAGAGCTTTTTCTTCTTTCCTTTGTAATTATCAAAATCATAGTGATTTTCTTTCATCTTCTCAACTGAGCTCCAGAGACTTCACAGATCGCAGTTGAGTGCACTGAAGTAAACATGAGAATCAAGAGCAATATGAGGCAACATCTTGCATTTGGAAAAGACTGGGATATAAATGCCTTTTGTTCCAATGAGAATTTGGGTAGGAATTTAGGTTAGGTGAGTTGGATGATGAAGGTGTGAGGTTGACTTCCATCCCCTTCAAAACTGAATTTGTAGTTGGACTCCATCCACATTAGGAAAGCAAAAAGAGTTTGGCTTCATCAAATAATTCTCTGAGATGAGCAGTCACAAGGAAGGGAGCTGTTCCAGAATGGGATTGCTACTGCTGTTGCTGCTGCTGCTGCTTCTGCCTTATGTGGAATGTGGAGTGAAGGTGAAATGCCCCTTGACTCTGGAGAGAGATGAACTAGACCCATTCAGTTATTCCAGACCAGGAGACCACCTCATGAGTGGGCTCATCTCTGCCACGATAGCTACATTTTTCCCACAGACCTTCAAGGAGTCTCCCTCTACCAGCTTTAGACAGTAAGTCATTTCATGGAATGGGGTTAGAGATGTTCCTTTAGCTACCAAATTCATGAGTCCCAATTCCCAGGCTAAAGGGGTTCATTCTTGGTTTTGCAAGTGGAAAGGGCCAGGGCACGTTCTGCATTGCAGGACCAGGCATCGGGCTCCCCATGCCCCAGCCCATATAAATAAGAGACCAGCAAGACTGGTTTGGGGTCAAAACATGCCACAACTTTATTGAATACAGATGAAGAGATTTGGCTTGGGCATGGGGCAATCTAAATACTTCCGGCCTGCCTGCCAGAAGTGACGTGTGGTCAATCCAGGTGGGGGTTCCTAAGACTTACATCAAAGAGATGTTCCAAAGGAACCCTCCAATCTTATGACACTACAAAGTAAAAATAGGAAACCATGAAAATGGGGAAACTACAGAAAGGTCACCTTCATTTCTCTGGCAGACTTGCCCACCTCTGCTGCTTTTGCTAAGCAGAGATCTGTCCATAGATGGGCTCCTGTGGAAAGGGAAGGAGGTGAGTTTCCTCCTCCACCACCACCAGAATTTTGTGAGGAAGCTGAAGTCGTAGTTCTGGAAACAGTTTGAGGAAAAGGTCAGAAACTCTTGGATTTCAACTGGGATGTTGAAGGACCTGGGTCCCTACCTCCAAAAATGAATGGTGGAGCAAGATCAGCCAGAGGGCTAATGCCATCAAACCTCTACTAAAGTTCAGCCTGTATATAAAAACTGTATATAGAAATATACAATTTGTCCCAAAAAATGTTGCAAACTTCCAGGAACTTCCTTTCAGTGAAGAAAACCTGGGTGCATCTTAAACAACAATATGAATGCTAAGAAGACTAGGCTGCTGTGAAAGCACATCACGGCACAAGTGACTTTTCTCTTTTGCTTTTAAAAACTTTTTTGCTTTTTAAAAACTATTTTTGTTCTATTATTATCCTGGAAATTCTAGGGTGGGGTTAGTTGTGTCTAAAGCTGTGATGAACCCTAGGATTTACCACATAAGCGGTTGTTATCACTGATTTCAAATCAAGTGAAGAGAACCACACACTCAGAAGACTCCACAGAGAACATCAAGATCACAAGACACTGTGATTCAAATGAAGTCACTCTAATTCATGAAAGAAGGGGGGGCAGGGAGACAACAGTAAATGTGTCCTGTCATTTAATGAACCTTTAAAATATTATATCTGCTCTTGTTCTTTAAATGAGGATCAGCTGTTGAGTTTTGGGATTTGGCTTCCATTAAATCTTTCTATCAGCCATTGTTCATTGCAGGGCTGGGCATGACTAATTCCATCACTAGAATGACCATCCGCATCTGTTCTGTTTTCCAAAAGATAAAAACTGTCGGTTGAAAAGATTATCCAGCCACCCACACGTCATAAAACTGAAGTGTTTGGAACCCCTGGGATCTTGCGTGAAACACTATTATCTTTAAAAACTTGTCAAAAAGTCAGAACTGAATGTGATATATTGGTAGAATGCTGGATAATGATTGTGTGCTATGTACATTTTTGCAGGAAATCAGGAACAAGTTACTGGCTGTTCCTGTCCTTTTTGTTTGCCATTTGGCAGATCAACCAGAATCCCAGGCTCTTGCCCAACATCACACTAGGCTACAGCATCCATGATAATTTTTTTCATGGAAGGGAGACGTATGAAGCTTTGGCAGACCTGCTCTCTTCTGGGCAGGTGAATGTCCCAAACTTCAGCTGTGGGGAACAGCATCAGCCGCTCGCTGTTCTTGAAGGGGCTGACTCTGACTCTCAAAACTCCATCCTGATTTCCACCATGTTGGGCATCTATAAAATCCCACAGGTAAGAATGGAGAGGGGTGTAGGCTGTTATCATACCACCTTTTCTTTCTTTCCTTCCATGTGTGTCGAATGCTGATTCTATGCACGTCACACCCATTATGTTGCAGTAAGTGGAAACATTTTTTTGTGAGCAAAACACTGGTATTTTGTTTATTAATTCAAAACATTTACAACCCACCTTAGAGTTTAAAGATCTTGTTGTGGTGTACAGCAAAAACAGTAACACATCAATGATGCAAGATATGCAAAAGAAAATGAGGAAAACAGTAGTATATTAACAAATTTGAAAAAATGCTTTAAAATATTTCTAGAGACAGAAACAGAGTCCAATGTTATGTGTCAAGGAAAGCCCAGGGGAAAATATTTATCTTCACAATAAAATTATTTCTTATTCGTTTAATCCAAATATTTCAGCTTTGATCCAAAATAAAAACAATCTAACAATCTTCCTCTTCTTGCCAGGTCAATTATGCTTTTGTTTCCCGAGATCTGAATGACAAGAGGGAGTTTCCCTTTTTCTACAGGATGGTCCCCAAAGAAGATGCCCTGTACCCCGGAATTGTCAAGCTGCTCCTTCACTTCAACTGGACATTCATTGGTCTTCTGACTCAAGACACTGACAACGGAGAGAGATTCGTGAAGACCTTGACGCCTCTGCTTACAAAGAGCGGCATTTGTGTTGCCTTCTCAGAAGGCTTCATCCTAAAACTAGGCATTAACACATTGACATACAGTAGTTCTCAATTCATTGAGTGGGGACAAGTCAATGTATTTCTTTACTATGTAGAAAACATTTATTTAACAGCGGGGCTGACAATTGTGAAAAAGTTGATCCATGTTTTTAAAAAACCCACTGCAGGAAAAGTCTTGATCACAACAGCGATGTGGGACATCTCCTTGAACTTAATATTCAGTGGTTTAGATTACCAACACATCCCAGGTATTTTTTCTTTTTTTGTGGGGAAAAATAATTGGGCACAACATAATGACTTTAGTCGCTATTTCTTTATCAAGAATTTTTGGGAGGATAGCTTTCATTGTTCCTATGTAAAGCATGCATTCTCAGTGAAAGGCCGGATGAGATGCAGAGAGAGAGAAGATCTGGAGATGCTTCCTCAAGACGATCTGGAAAGAATCCTCTCTTCAGACAGTCACAGGATTTACAACACAGTCCATGCTGTGGCCCATTCCTTAAATGCTGCATATTCCTCCAGATCAAAGTGGAAGTTGAAGGACAGTCTAGAAGTTCAAAGGCTACAGCCATGGCAGGTATTTCCCTTCCCATCACTGACATCTCTGCCAAATATGACAGTCCAGAATTATTGAATTGGGAAAGGTCTGAGAACTTGGGGAATGTAGTGGGTGAAATTTATCAAACTGCTTTTTGAAGTGCCCTGAACTGGATCCTCCATGTGCCCCCCATACACAAAAGTCCCTCAGAGGACACTGCCCCTCTGGTAATGGACTCCAACCCCTCCCCTTTGGCTGCAGTGTCCCATTTGGAGCACGACCCCTAACCCCCAATGTAAGAATTCCCTTTGGCAAGAGAGATGGTGTTGCAGGCTCCCTCTCCCCATATGGCAGCGGTTTTCAACCAGTGAGCTGTGGCTCCCTTGGGTGCCTTGGATGGTTGGGGAGCTGCAGGCAACACCAGTCATTTTATTAAGGAAGCAGAGCAGAAAACAAGCAGAGACTTCTGAGAGATGCTCCACTTCAGCAAACAGTTGCTCAGACTGTCTTACACCTCCCACTTCCCCACATTCCCTCTGTGTCATGCCCCTCCCTTTGTCTATGGGGAGCCCCTAGGGACACTTTCTGTTTCTGCCTGGCTCCCTGCTCTGTGATATGCATCAGACACCTTGTTTTGGGACAGGGGGGTGGGCCGATGGACTCTGTGGTGAAGCTGCCATGTCTGATTCCTGTCTGTCCCACCCGCGTCCCTATAAATTTCAGTGTAGCCCACACTCAAAGCTACTTGAGTCTGCACCCAGATCAAAGTCAGAGGAGAGCCAGGGATTGAAAGGTCAGAGTTGGATTGCCATTGTTGTTTCCCGTATTCCAAACACTGCCCTTTTCTCTGCCATTCTAGCTCCACCCTTTCCTGGGAAATGCCCAGTTTTACAATTCTTCCATGGACGGAGTGTATTTGGATGAGAATGGGGAAGTGGGAGCCGACTGGGACATCGTGAACTGGGTGCTGTTTCCCAATCGGACCAACCTTAGAATGAGGTTCGGGAGCATCAAGAGACAGGGATCCTCGGACCTAAAGTGCACCATTGATGCAGATGTGTTGCCCAAAAGGCTCAACAAGGTGGGAGATACCGTCTATTGCATTTTATCTAATCTCTAATCATGGTCTCCTGCTGCGTGTGGGGCTGCCTTCAAATGCCTGTCAACATCAGCTTTGAACATTTTGGCAACCTAACTTGGAATCTCTGTCAAGCTGTGCATATGTAGGAGTCAACTGTTCTGGAGTGCAATTTCCAGGGGGTTACTTATTGTAGTAATTAGATGAGGTGGCCAAGGTTTTTCCCAGCCATTACCATATTTAAATTGTCATGAACCCACATGCATTCATACTCACACTAAAGAGAGGTTTAGCCTGTCAGTATCAACATGCAGTATTTTGACAGTCTAGGACACACTAAAGAGAGGATTAGGGTCTTCCGCTGGAGTCCTGACATGGGCTTGTTATGAATACATGTCCACCTTTATCCTAAAGCCCACAAGAAGTTCTCACACCAAAGGAATAAACAAAGTTGGGTTTATTATATGGAACAGAAGTGAGAGATATTCACTTCTATTCCACATATATGGAATGATTCAGGCAGCAAAAGTACACTTTAAGCAGGCAGCAACTCACAGAAAAGACAAACACCTTGATCTAAACAGCAGCAGAAATACCTAACGGTTTTGAAAAAGCCTGTAGGAAAGTGAGCTTGCCCATTTCCTCACAGAATCCCACCCTAAAGAGCAAGGAACAATGGAACTGGAAGGGTATAACTGTCCTCAAGCATCTGTATGTTGGTCCTTGAGAATGCTGGATAAGTTCTGTTGGAGATTGCAGTGCCAACTGACTACTAACAGAGCCAACTGCCTACTGGGAAATTTGGGGGTTTCAATAGTAGTCTTCTTCATAGAGAAGGGAAAGGGCTTTGAAGTGAAGAAGTCCTGTGCATTTCTCACCTTGCCCATCCTAGTGAGAAAATAACTAAAACTGGGCAAAATCCTGTTTGCATTCCATCCTGGTGTGCATGAAAGACTGCGATAGTGAGCCATTTCCCACATTTCTTCATCGATCCCACTTGGCTGCCCTGACACTGTGCAGCCTGGCTGCTTCACTTCACACCAGCTGCAGCTTCCAGATTTTCTTCATGAGTAGCCCCACAATAGGAGAACCAGAAGGTTAGCAGAGCATGGATAACTGAGAGCAGCCTAATCCTAACCAGGAACATCCTTGGCCAGCCAACCGGCCAAAGCTAGAAATGCACATTCAGTACCACTTGGGCCACCTGGACCTCAAACAACTATGCAATTGCTATGGTCTTTTCAGCCTTATGCTTAGTTGCAAGGTCCACGTGAGAATCCTGGGCCTTCACAAGCCTCTGTCTCATTTCCATAGGGAAAAATAAATAGGCCTAACACAATTTCTTTGCTGCTTGCTGCTTAGACCTTGCCTCCCTCCAAGTGTGTGGAAAGTTGCAGCCCTGGACTGGTCAAACGTGTTCAGGAAGGAATGCCACTCTGCTGCTATGATTGCGTTCCCTGTGCAGAAGGGACCATCTCCACTCAGGAAGGTGGGTGACGCCAGCAGAAAGGGCTGCCCTTGAGGAAGAGGAAATCGCTTCATTCCAATATACAGGGGAAAATTTAGAACGGATGATAACTCCAATACAGATTGGAGAAGTGGGCCCACATTACCTAAATGAATTTCAATGGAGGGAATATAAAGTTCTGGACTTTGGCATGAATAACCAGCTGTAAGATGGGGAACACCTGGCTTGCCATTAGTACACGTGAAAGGGTCCTAGGAGATTTAGTAGATCACTAGCTTAACAGGAGCCAACAGTGTGATGTATAAGCAAAAACAGCTCATGTTTTTCTAGGCTGGATCAACAGAAGGCTAGTGTCCCCTCCCCCCCATCATCTCTTTGACCAAATGAAACCGCCTCTCAATCCAAACCTTTTAAATCCTGGTAGCTGAGTTTATTTTTGCAGCTTCTTATCTCATCATCTCTAGCACATGCCTGTAGTTTACTCCAATTAAAAAAGCCGATTAGCAGGATAACCTGTGCTTCCAGGGACAGGATCGGGGGGTCACAGCAGCCTAGGTTGCTCCATAAACCCAGTGCCTTTGCCTGTCTTTGCATTCCATGGGGAAGCAAGTGCCAGACTGCCAGGCAAACTGTGGGTGAGAGCCAGGTTCCTCTTCCAACTGAAGAGGAATGCAGAAAATGCAATTCAGCCATCATTCTCTGATTATCTCCATTTGTCTTTCTCTGTGGTGTTGGGAGAGACATCCATCCCCTGTTGTACAAGAAACAGGAAGCCTGTTATAGCCACCTTCAAATATCTAAAGGGCTCCTGTTCCAGTGGGTAGGACCTGAACCAATGTCTTCAAGTTACAAGAAAGGAGATTCTGACTAAAGATCAGGAAAACTCCCTCTGAAAATGATGGACTCTCCTTCCTTGGTGGTTATTAAGCAGATGTTGGATGGCCTCTGTCATGGATGCTTTAGTTAAGATTTGTGCATTGTAAGGGGGTGGATTAGATGACCCTTAGGCCATGCTCCCCCCATTGTTTTCCCCACCAATGGATGGCTTGTTCTTTCCAGATGCTGAACATTGCACCATGTGTCCAGAAGATCAACATCCAAACAAGGCCAGAGATCAATGTCTGGCCAAGAATATCACCTTCCTGGCTTATGAAGAATATTTGGGTGTTCTCCTGTCTTCCTTGGCCATCTTTTTATCCCTAACTGTAGGCTTTGTGTTAGGAATCTTCATTAAGTATAATGAAACTCCCATAGTCAAAGCCAATAACAGAGACCTCTCTTATATCCTCCTTGTTTCCCTCTTGCTTTGCTTTTTGTCCTCCTTCCTTTTTATTGGCCAGCCAAGGAAAGCCACCTGCCTTCTCCGACAAATGGCCTTCAGCGTCATCTTCTCAGTTGCCATCTCTTCTGTGTTGGCCAAAACCATCACTGTGGTGCTGGCCTTCCTGGCCACAAAACCAGGAAACACAATGAGGAGATGGCTGGGGAAGAGTCTGGCCAACTCCATTGTCATTTCCTGTTCCAGTATCCAAGTTGCCATCTGCATCATCTGGCTGGGAATCTCTCCACCCTTCCCAGAGTCTGACATGCATTCGCAGCCCGGAGAGATCATCCTGCAATGCAATGAAGGGTCTATTGCCATGTTTTATGCTGCCCTCGGCTACATGGGCTTCCTGGCCTCCATCTGCTTCACTGTGGCTTTTCTGGCCAGGAAGCTGCCTGGGGCCTTCAATGAAGCCAAGCTGATCACCTTCAGCATGCTGGTCTTTTGCAGTGTTTGGCTCTCCTTTGTGCCCACCTACCTGAGCACCAAGGGGAAATACATGGTGGCTGTGCAGGTCTTCTCTATCTTGGCTTCCAGTGCTGGGCTTCTGGGCTGCATCTTCGTTCCCAAGTGCTACATAATTGTACTCAGGCCTGATCTGAACACAAAGGAGCATCTGACAACAAAAGCTGGTTCTTAAATTACTCATTTTCGACAACTGTTGTCCAGCACAGCAATGATGAAAAAGACATCCTTGCCTTGGAAATGTAGCTTCTTAGATTTTAATGCCACGTTTATGGCTCCATTTCTTATGGTTACATTTCAAACCTTTAAGAAATGTCTAAATGTTTACATTTTATTTTTAATTGTGGTATTTTAACTTGGAAATTTGAGTGTCTTCCTCTTAAAATTCATACTCTTTGGCAGCTCCTGCATTTCAAGATATTGCTTTATTAGGAAAATTGATTAGGACTGCTAAAACAAATAGAGTAAAAAAGTGGAATTCAGTAGTGAAATCTTTTGATTTAACAGTTAACAGAGGGCACTGATACATTATTTACACATATATAGATATATAAACAACAATGGGAGGATTCTTAGGAGTGGTGAATAAACATGGTAGAAATAATTTATTCCTTATTGCAAAGAGCCATTTAAAACATGTTAAACTTTGAGGTATGGATTGCTCTCCATTGTAGACAGAATTAATATCTGTATTTTCCTTCACAAATATTATGTTAAAAATACTGAGAAAATTGTGCCTTAATATATCTGTTGCTCTTCAAGGTGCCTCAAGACTTGAGAAATGTGAGAATGCTATGGATATTAGGAAAGGATATATTGATTAAGTATTATCCTTCCTTCACTCATGCTAGTGAGTGTTGTAGGAGAGCAGATTCCGCTCAATATAGCAGGAAGCTAGTTTGCAGATTCATTTGAATCCCTTCAGTTAAGTAATCCAATCTGGCTTGCCCTGATGGATTATTCCTGGTTTCTCATTTTATTTTTATTTTATTTTTTTATAAAAATTTTATTGGTTTTAGAAACTTTTTAAGAAAAACAAACAAACACCAAAAATGACAAACATACACGTATAGTTTCAAACATATTTTCATAAACCTCTTTCCTTTGACTTCCCCATACCCACCCTCTCTGCATCCCAATGTCCATAGTTCAACTAACAACTCCCAATTGTTACTTTCCAATCTCTGTCATCTTAGTTCTCTTTTATATCTCTAACCTTATATCCCTGTATCCCTTTGTTTCTGGAAACCACAACATTTTAGCATTCATTAAGTTTATAGTAGTCCTTAAGATAACTTTTAAATTTTCTCCATTCTTCTTCCACCGTCTCTTTTCGTTGGTCACGGATTCTGCCTGTCATCTCGGCCAGTGTCATATAGTCCATCACTTTCATCTGCCATTCTTCCAGAGTGGGTAGATCTTGAGTCTTCCAATACTTTGCGATAAGTATTCTTGCTGCTGTTGTAGCGTACATAAAGAAAGTTCTATCCCTCTTTGTCACCAATTGGCCGACAATGCCCAAGAGAAAGGCCTCTGGTTTTTTAGAGAAGGTACATTTAAGTACCTTTTTGATTTCATTATAGATCATTTCCCAGAAGGCCTTAATCTTCGGGCATGTCCACCAAAGGTGGTAGAAGGTACCTTCAGTCTCTTTACACTTCCAACATTTGTTATCGGGCAGATGATAGATTTTTGCCAGCTTGACTGGGGTCATGTACCACCTGTAAATCATTTTCATTATGTTTTCTCTTAAGGCATTACATGCCGTAAACTTAACACCGGTGGTCCATAACTGTTCCCAGTCAGCAAACATAATATCATGACCAATATCTTGAGCCCATTTGATCATGGCTGATTTCACCGTTTCATCCTGTGTATTCCATTTCAACAACAAGTTATACATTCTCGACAAATTCTTAGTGTTGGGTTCTAACAGTTCAATCTCTAGTTTTGATTTTTCCACCTGAAAGCCAATTTTCCTGTCCTGTTTGAAAAGCTCCATTACTTGGTAGTATTGGAGCCAGTTTTGTACTTTATCCTTCAATTTGTCATAGCTTTGTAATTTCCACTTATCTCCATCCTGTTCCAAAATTTCCCAATACTTCGGCCATCCGACCTCCATATTGAGTTTCTTTACTGCTTTGGCCTCGACTGGTGACACCCATCTAGGGGTTTTGTTTTCCAAGAGGTCTTTATATCTCATCCATACATTAAACAGTGCTTTTCTTACTATGTGATTTTTAAAGGCACTATGCTGCTTACTTTTGTCATACCATAGATATGCGTGCCAACCAAAAACATTGTTAAAACCTTCCAGATCCAAAATGTCTGTGTTCTCGAGGAGCATCCAGTCCTTCAGCCAGCAAAAAGCTGCTGCCTCATAGTACAATTTTAAGTCCGGCAGGGCAAACCCCCCTCTTTCTTTAGCATCTGTCAGTATTTTAAATTTAATTCTGGGCTTTTTGCCCTGCCAGACAAATTTCGAAATATCTTTCTGCCACCTCTTGAAACATTCCATCTTGTCAAGAATCTGCAAGGTCTGAAACAGAAATAACATTCTAGGCAATACATTCATTTTGATCACTGCAATTCGGCCTAACATTGACAATTTCAAATTTGACCATATTTCTAGATCTTTTTTGATTTCTGACCAACATTTTTCATAGTTGTCCTTATACAAATTCAAATTTTTAGATGTTAAGTATACCCCTAGGTATTTCACCTTCTTGACCACTGTCAAACCTGTCTCCTCTTGAAATTTCTCCTTTTCCATATCTGTTAAATTTTTCCCTAAAACTTTTGTTTTTTGCTTATTCAGCTTAAATCCAGCTACCTGGCCAAACTGTTGTATTATTTCTAAAACCTTTTTCGTACTAGTGTTTGGCCTCATTTTATCCCTCTTAAAAGAATAAAGACACACGAGTCTTTCCTTAAAAGTAACAAGATTACTCACTTTCAGTTTAGTTTGATCCCTGAAAGGCAGGTGTAGCACCCTGCTTGTGGTTAACGCTTAGCTGGAATGAAATATTCAACGCAGCAATAGAGAAATTAAAATAATAATTTATTTGTCAGACAAATAAATGAGAGGCACAGTGGTATATGGTTACCAAGCTCTGGCCTGGCCTCCTGCCATTATGGCCAGCACTTATATTCCCTTAATCCAGCCCCCTTTGCTCCTCCTGTGGCTGCCTCTGTCCCATCAGCCTGGTTGAAATTCCTATTGGCTGATTGGTATGACCAATCACAAAAAGATACACCCATATCCTCCTGTCCTTATATGGAACACAAAGAGCTATATATTGTTACATCTATAAATGACAAATAAGTAGTAATATATCTTACATGTGTCTCAACAAGGAATCTTAATTACCAGCTCACCTCTTGCCCTCCTTGCCCTATTGCCTTCTAAAACAAATGGTTAATCTTAAATTTTTATCTTAAACATATGTCAAGGATCTTGAGTTTCACATCAACATTGAAAGATCTCCTTCATTTGAAGGTTTCTAAACAAATGTCTGACAACTATATATCAGGACTGCTTGGATGGCGTCTCCCGTCCGGCAGGGGGGCTAGGCTGGTGGCTGACTTAATTTCAGGATAAATACAACTCTTACAACTATATGAAATAAGAATCTAGCATTTCTTAAATCCTTTGCATAATTACATCTATGCCAATACACTTAATACACAACACAGGTAGCCTCTTAAAAGGAATAAGGTCTTTGTAAAGTAGAAAAAGGAACTCAGTAAAAAACCGCTTCAAAAGAAGCCTCTTCAGTCTACACCCCCCCCCCCCTCAGCCAGCTGCTTTTCCCATTTGCTTTTCCCAACATTTATTGCCCTTCAACTCTCTCAGTTTAAGAAAGAAACAGCTTTTAAAAAAGACTTCCCAAAAATGCTCTCTTTCTGCCAGCTAGATGCTTCTCCATTGCTCTTGGCCTTTTTAACCTTAGAAAGAAGATCTGGCTCATTTTACTGGGAGGCACATTGGTATTATTTTACTATTTACTCATTCCTAATTATGTTTATCTCTGCCTTTTTTATCTTCTGTAACATGTAGGGTCAGTGTCCTCGCTCTCAGTCTGTAATTCCAGCTTTTACGACTTTGAGAATTGTTTTCTGCTATAAATCAAGGGGCCCCTTGTCTAGGAGGAAAACATTGCCTAAGGTTCTCTAAGCAGCTGGCATGAAACATTTGAAAATCTAAGCCCATTTAATTTAGGAACCTGATCAAGATATAAGCCAATATAAGTCTTGATAAAAATGCAGTCTATATTCAGATGCCACATAGGCTTTAGCTAGTAGTTACATAACAAACTGTGAGTTCCTCTCATATGGAGATTGAGCTCATGTGCTGCTGACTGAGAGCCAACAGACAGCAAAAATACATTAAGAGAACAAAATGGCTGCAGGAGAGAAGCATGGCAGCGAGAGAGAGGCAAAATGGCTGTAGGTTCTGGATGAGCGTCTGACCTGTGGTTGCAGGACCACATCAGCTTCCTCATCCTCCTCCAACGGAGGAGTAAAATATAGCAAAAATGCATTAAGAGAACAAAATGGCTGCAGGAGAGCAGCATGGCAGCAG